AGAGGCTCCACACTCGTACCCACAGCTGAAAACCAGCGGTAGGATCTCCAAGAGCAAGGAGGATCAAGAATGAACCAAGAATCGAGACATACACCCAGTCAACAAATACAAACCTCACTGGAGAAATTATCAGGAGGCGAGACAATGAAGAACCACAGGGAAAAAGCCTAATCTGGACTCCACGCGCCATGACTCTCGTGGTCGGAACCCTAGATCTGATAAAAAGCTGAGAGAAACCACCAGCGATCTGAGCAAGCGGGAGAAAGTAGTCGACACTGGTCCAAACCCTAACCTCTCCTCCGCCATGGTACCGTCAAATCAACCGAAGAAGCTTCAGAAAAGAAACCAGAAACACCGACCACCCACATGACCGTCCCTGGAGACAGACCTTAACACCAATCGTTTCCGTCGCACTAGATCTATCACCGCCTAAGGCAATCCCACCAAATGTAACGCATTTAGAAAAGGATCTAAGGCGGCGTACGCGATCCAGAGCTTGGGAAAAGACTGAAGGAGGAGGAAACTCGACGGAGAAAAGAGAAACAAAAGATAGAGAGCGCCTCCGACGATGGCCTAAGGATCACCAGCTCCGGAGCAAGGAGAGGCGAGTCGGCTTGAGATCTAAGGTTAAAGAGAAGGAGGAGAAAATATTTTAGAGAGAATACAAAAATAAATTAAAAATAATAATAATTATCAAGTTAAGTTATATTATATTTTAAAAATAAAAATACAAAAAAATTTAAAAAACAAAAATATTTATAAAAACAAAAATATTTTTTTAAAAGAAAATATTTAAACACTAAACCCTAAACTCTAATCCTAAACTCTAAACCTCTAGATAAATCATAAACTTTTGGATAATTTTTATAAAAAAGTTCTTTAAAAATTATTTTAACACTATAACACTGAACCCTAAACTCTAATCTTAAAGCCTAAATCATTGGGTATATCATAAACACTAAACCTTAAACTCTAATCCTAAACCCTAAACCCTTGGGTAAATAATAAACACTAAATTTTTAAAACACTATAAGATTTATCTAAAGGTTTATGATTTACCTAGGGGTTTAGGGTTTGAGAGTAGAGTTTAGGATTTAGTGTTAAAATATTTTCTTTAAAAAGATTTATTTTTCGTTTTTATTAATTATTATAATTTTTTATTTATTTTTATATTTTTTCTTTTTAAAAACATAATATAATTTAATAAGATTTTGTTTTCTTTTTTAAAAAGATATCAAATATGAAATAATGCAATCCTACTAGATGGTGAACCTAAGAATAAATCTAATAAATTCTTGATTAATTTGCAAGTTTTTGATCTCGTTGGCTTCTTAATTCTTTGAAGCAGATATAAAGAGTCAAACTTATATTTCTATCATAGCACAATTCAGTTCTGAATGGGAAGAGCTACAAGGCTAACATCTTAGTGGTTCTATATTCAATCGTGTTTCATCTCAAGAAGACCTCTTTTTTTTTGTAACACCAAGAAGACCTCTTACATTAAGAAAGATTGAGGTCTATTACTTCTCCTATTTGAGTGGTACCTACTGGTATTTATTTAGTCTCTGGTTGTTATTGTCGTTTGTACTGATGTATTTCTGCAGTACTTGTTTTTCTATAACTATGTATGACCTGTTTGGTTTTGAACTTGTGTCGAAAAGAATGATTCAGCATTAAAAAAAAAGTCTAATAAAAATAGGATAAATTAGCAAAGTAAAATATGCTATCATTATAATTAAATTTTCTGAATTTCAAAGCTAGAACATATTAGTGGTAAACTGAAATATTTCACAGAAATTATAACTATCAAATCGTGTGATTTAATACTCATTTCATATGTTTGTGTATTTTAAAATAATTCTAAACAAATAATATTTTTATAAAAAATAATAGTAAAGAGTTCTAAACACAAAAATTTAAAGAGAGAATTAGGGAAATACACAAAAACGAAGCTCATATTAGAGAAATGCCTATGATTTGACATAAAAACAAGTTTCTATACAATTATGATTTCGTTTGACACTGAAGCCCTTGTGACTCTCTCTTTCTTCTCTTCCACTCTCTTTCTTCTCTTCTCTTACACTCTCTTTCCATTTCTTTCATTGTTTTCTTATTATACTTTTTGTTTCTTCAACATTTTTTTCATCCAAATAATTTTTATTCCTTTTAAAACTAATTGACAAACAAAACAAAATAATTTTTATTCGTTAAAAACTAATTAACCACGAAACAAAGTATTGATTTGTTTAATTACACCACGGATTGAGAAAATCAATATTGCAATATCGTTAAAATCACTGAGTGTTAACAGCTGTTAACAAATACATGTACCAGAGGTGTTAGCTGTTAATAAATATTGTAGATCTTAACAGAAGTGTTAGTTGTTAACAAATACATGTAACATATGCGTTAATAGAATTGTTAGCTGCTAACAAAAGTTGTAAATGTTAACAGAAGTGTTAGGTATTAACTGTTAACAAATAGATAATGTAGCATTTTTAATTTTTCTATCACAATGAGTAAATATAAAAAAATAAAAATTATTCTTTAAAACCACATAGGAAATAAATAAATATATATATATATATATATATATATATATATATATATATATATATATATATATATATATATATATATATATGAATGAGTAAAAAATAAGAACTGATAAAATTGAAGATCCAAAATTAGATATGAAACAAAAAAAAATTAAAATTAAAATTGAATTGAATATAGATTGATAAAGATTTGTATAATAATTAAAATTTTAAGCTACAAACATCACATATATTTTCGGTGAAGAAAAAAAATAGAAGAAAAATAGCAAAAAATAGTAGAAGAGATGGTAAGAAGACTAGCAAGTAGGAGGAGAGAGAATGAGGGATGTTTTGATCATGAATTCTAAATAAGTCAAATCATGTGTAAATGGCTAATATGAGTTTCAATTATGGTGCTGGAGCAAATTACATCATATTTAAACGCCTCAACCTATTTGTATAGAGAATACGTATTCATATACATAAGAAGACAACTTTGATTCAGTCACTTTTCCATAAAAAGATTATATCGTTAGAAAAAAAGACGAAGAAAAATAATTCTGAGTATTTACTTTATCAATCACTAAAACCAGTGTTTTGAAATTCAACCGTCTGAGTTTTTAAAACTAGACGATGTGATTTGGTGCTATTTGATTTTTTTGTTATTGAAAGTTTCTTGTAATGATGTTTTGTTTTTGGTTTATTTTTAATTTGGAGTTTAACATGTTATTCACGTTAGATATTTAAATATTTATGAAATTTATGACTTGATTTTTTTACATGTCATAACTCTTAACTTGTTACAAAAAATATATTCTAAACTATTTTTAATATTTTTTATGTTAAATGAAAACAAAAATATAAGACTAAAGTTAAGTAATTTCTAAATGTTGTTTAAACATAAAATATATACATATCCAAACAACCCTTTTATGTTTTTTTTTTTTTCTTTATTTTTATTTTCATAACTTATATTTTGTTACATAATAAAATTTATTTATTTATTAACCTACGGTTCACCAGCGGTCGATCTAGTGATCCATTAACCTAATTAACAATATTGACTAAAACTAAAATTTTAGTAAAAACAACTAAAGTTATTTGATAACAATTACAACACATTTTTATTTTTCATCAAGCCTGAGATATGAAGTAATTACATTTATAAAACAAGAAGGGCTGTTTTGGAAAAGATTAAAATACAACGTGATACACAACACCGTTTTACTTGTTACTAAAAGTTTCTGTTATACATAGTGATTTTTTATATAGTAAAATGCAAATCGCTTGACGAATCATATTATGTTACATAAGAAATATAAAAACTAAGAAAAAATATACCAAATAAAAAAATATATAAAATTAAGAAAAAATTAGTAAAAACAAGATAATGCTTAAAATTTGTATTTTTTGCCCACAATTTTTTCATCTGCATAAGTCTTTTAAAGTCTTCTCAGATTCTCGAATAAAATATCAGAGAAATCTTCGATCTATTCTCCTTCTTCGATTTCCTTCATAAATGGGGTTATATTGAATCTCACAAACCATATTTACCGATCCTTTGTATAGTTAACTAAGGCGGAGTACGATATCACTTCATTGAAATTTGAAACCGTTTAGTGTTAGGAAAGTTCAAGAAAAAGGATATGGTGGATTTGAATAGCTGGAGAATATTTTTTTTTTTAAATAAAGGGGAGACTTTAGAACGAGAAGAAAGAAAGATGAGGACGATAGAACTCAGCCAAAATGAAAATGCAAACGTGGTGGATTTGGCTTTTGATCAAAGGTAAATGCTCTTCACGCGTATAATAAATATATTTATGTAAATAGCTTTAGAGAACGATTGCAAAAATCAATCATTATGTATATGTGTTCTAATGTGCGACTGTCCACTTTTAACTTATAATTTTTCACTACATTTTCAAATTAACATGTAAATTAAAGTATTTAATAGTTTACAAAAAATATGTTATATGATTTAATTGTGGTTCCGATCGATAATTACTTTTGCTTTAGACTTTGACTTTAGAATTGTGTCTTTAGAAATTTTAGTTTTAAAGACTATACCTAAAAAAATTTAAAAGCTTGATTGATATCTAAAGGTTTAGAAACTATGACTATTATAATTTGTCATAATATCCCCTATATATTAATTGAGAAACATTTGAAAAAATATAACTTTAAATTTGTATTAATTAAAAAAATAACTCAATCATATATGGCACCAGAATCATATAATAAGAAAAAAATGCATAATCAGAAAAATAGTTAAACCATAACCACCAGGGGCACATAAATGATGAGTATCACCTCTGTCTTCATCACATCTTCTTCAAACAAAACATAAAAAGAAAGAAAAAAACATAAGTAACAAATCAATAGTGTCACTGGGTGGATGAACAAAACGAATGGGTTTAAAGTCTAAGAGTTGAAGAAAAAGAGGAAGCAAAACGAGTAGAGCTGTGGACATCAATGCTTTTATCTTCTCTTGCAATTTTTGTGATATCATGGATTGTCTACAACAAAAATGTAACCCACAAACACTTCTATCCTGAATAATGCATGGATGAGAAGTTCACGCCACTCTAAATTGAATATAACAAAATTTTGATTGGAAGTATAGCTTTTGCAGGTTTAGAATAGAAACTATGGAGCCGGTTTAAAAAGCGGTCAGTGGGGTTTCGCTAAGGGTGTGTTGCTCTGATTTTATTGTTTGTGTTAGTCTGCGATTGGTGGATCAGGTATGGTTGCTGAGAATTTGAGAGTTCTCGCTTTCTCAAATCTTTTTTTCATTCTTTAGGTTTTGACATTGTTTATGGACAAACAAAGATCTGAGTCCTGGTGAATTAATTTATTGTGTGTTTTGACAAATTATAACAATGTTTTCTAAAGTACTTTTGAATCTTTATCTAGCTTTTAGATTAGTATTGAATCATTACTTATCTGGATTTACACTGGATAGAAGATGAATCACTTAGAAGAAAGTATACTAGAAAAGATTGCAATTTGGAGATTTTAGTAGGGAGCAGCTAGTCCTAATATTGAGATTTTTAAAGAAGTTTCCAATAATTTGAGATTTTATCTCGGGATTTCCTTTTTCCTCTAGGAGCCATAACAGACTTGCAATAAATCTTTTCATATTATTTTATCAGAGTATGTTACTTTTAACAAAGTTTCTAGGGGAGAGAGAGAGAGCTTGTGATCTTGTTAAGAGAAAAGGATTTTGACATACTCAAACTCTATTTTATTATTTCTGTAATATGTTATCACATTTTATTTATCTCTTATGTCTATGTTTTCTGTGACTATGGCTGAGTAGTCAATTGTAGGTGATAAGGATTTTAGATTTATGATCACCATATTTCGGTTTATTATTAGTAGATATGCATGAAAGAAACAAAGTTGGAGACTCTGCTCCTACAAGTACATGAAATGGGAAGTGGAAGAAGTGAATTCCTAAACAACAGGAAGACCATTTTCTTCTTATTGACTCAAGAAAATAAAAGACACGATAAAATAAAGTAAAATAATTACTCCACTTATCTCCGGTTTGGGACCCTTCTTTGATACTCTTTTCTCCGGTTCAGCTATTGTAACTCCATCACCAAATTACTCGTGATGGTAGTAGTGTTTTTCAACAGTGACAGAGACATCCCAGGTGCAACTCAATCCTTTAGGGAAAACAACCAAGTCACCAGCTTCGATCTCGACGGCTTCATCAGATCCATCAGTGTACACTTTCACTTTCCCCTCAAGTAGATAACATGACTCTTTTACACTGAAAGTCCATGGAAACTTGCTTGGTGGAATAAGCTCCCACCTGTGTCATTGAAATCGAGTTCAAAAAAAAAAGCACAAGAGGTTAAGGCAATCTTCTCCAGGAAAGGAAAAAAACTTATAAACTCTCTTCTAAGAGAAAATAAATAAAAGAATATTGATGATTGTATACTATTTGAGTTCGAATAGAGAGCAGGGATCAAAGAAGACGTACTTGGGCCAACTACGAACACCGAGTTGGGTTAGTGTGGACTCTGGTGGATTCTTCTCAATTATGATCCCAGATTTCTCAGTAGCCATCGATGATTTTGTTTGAGTTATTGGTTATGTTTGGTGGGTTTTTTTTTGGACACTGTCTGAGACTGCAACAGATTCACATATTTAATGGATAACGTGCGCCAATTTTTTTTTTTTTTTTTAAATTGGTGTAACATGATCCATTCATACCTTATCACTTTAGTTGGTTAAGACTTTTAAAATTTTCACTAAGATTTGACGCGTGTGAGGTTTATGAAAATTTTATGTATTCACTATAAATTATCATATTTTTAATTGTTTCTAAGTTATATCGGTTGCGTTTGGTTTCAAACAGTGAAACAATCAAATTGATATATAAGATAAGTAATTTGTTATTTGACAATTCTATAAAAAGCGGAAAATTTTCTAGTATATTTGTTTGTATAAATATTCACTTTGTTTTCAAATAGATAACTTTTCAGATAATTCTTTTCGTTCCAAATTAAATGATGTTATTCAATTTCAATGAAAAGTTATTAATTCTCTATGCTAGAATAAATATTTTTATTTCAAATTTTTGTATTTGACAAATGTTTATATATGATGAAATTGCATTATTAAATACTATATATATGTGTTTAACAAATAATTTTGTATTTGGTTTTAAATATAACCATTAATATTATAACTTTATAAATAAATAGTTATTTATATAATTTAATAAAAACTTTAACACAATTTTTGGTTTCAAAGAGGTATTTTCAAAAATTTTATATGTGATACCAACGTCATGAGAACTTATTCACTTTTGTGCTACTAAAGACTTAATTGATATAATAAAAAATCTTATATATTTTGTAACATTTACCAGTGTGTCAATATACATTGCTTACAATTATTATTTTATAATATTTTCTGTTTTTATTTCATTTAAAGATAAATTTTGTTTTAATTTTGGTATTCACCTAAGTTTTATATGATTAAAAATGATTATGTAATAATTAATATTTCCAATACATTTTCTCTATCTTTTTTTTTACATCAAATTTGCTCTTTCTTTCATATTAAAGTTTTGAATTAAAATAAGACAACATAGGATATAAATGTCCACATTAAAAAATGAGGTTTTTTGCAAATTTGATTCAAAAAACAAAGTCAAACACAAAACCAACCTCTATTTTCTTTTTTTTTTTTTTTAATTGAATGTTAAATTTAATTCAAAAGAAAAAAGCCCTTTTTACAAACTATGTGTGACCTTTTTATATTTCCCTATACAAATCTTTTGCTAAAAAGATGAACAAAAACTTATATTTCCCTATTTCCCTTCAGTTCAAACATCCAAACATACTTCAATCTCCTCTCAATACCAAGCTCTCCTCTCATTACCCAGCTCTCACTCCTACTGGGCCCCAGCTCTCACTCCTACTGGGACAACACATCCTTCCCTCCCCTCTCAAATACACACGACATGTCCAAAATCCAAAGACCAGGTTCTGCTTAGCATTCACTCCTACTAAACAGCCAGCGCTCACTCCTACTGGACTGACCCACTCCAATGTCCTTATCTCGTACTAAACCAGTACTGCAAGCCATCTCTCAAACTCTTATCTCCCTTTCTCTGCACCAAAGTAAGCTTATTTCTCATGTTTTTATCAAGAAGTTTAATCAATAATGCAGCTGGAGTCTCTCCATCTCCATGTCTCCTTCGATTGCGCTCAATCCAAATCATATAAACAGTCGCTTGAAGTAAGTACTTCATAACAAACAGCTGCACTTTACTCCTTGACTGACTTCTCATAAGTCTCAGAATAGCTTCCCATTCCCCTGTGTAAAGATCACACAAGATTCCTTTCATCAAAGCTGACTTCTATTTTTTTGTCATATTCATTCAACTTGTTCACATTATTTATGAAAATGTCATTAAATTTTTTTCTTTCTTCGAAAATAGTTTTTTTACTCTCTCTCAACCTCATCATCTTCAAGTATTTACAAGATTGTCATTGCCATCAATACCCCAGCCACCTTGAACAACCAATTTGAAGCTCTTAATGCACCTAAAATCGAATTACACTCTCTCTTTCTCAAATTTTATGAACTAAAAACAACATCTCTTTCAGTTTGTCTCCATATTCATCCAAAAAAACTCAAGGTTTTGATTCAAATTTTTTTTATGGTTGATAGAGCCATTGAAGCATACTATTCTTGGTGGATTACTTTCATTTGAGGTTATGGGTGGTTGAAGAAGACTTTGTGTGCTAAGGAAATCATCTCACTAGTTTAAGGTATGAAATTGAAATTTTTGACAGATCTGTTCGCGTAGAAGACTTACCCGTAAGTCATCTAGCTGTAGAAGACTTACGAGTAAGTCTTCTGGTCAAACGGACGACTTGTAAGTCGTGCAGCTTTGTTTGTTAAAAAAACTCTAGACGACTTACGACTAAGTCATCTAGGATAAACGGGTCAGTTTTGCATTTGACCGAATTGTGTCAGATATTTGACTTTTCCTGGACGACTTACCATTAAGTCGTCTCTGGAAAAACAAAAATTTTAATATTTTATTAAAGCTAGAATACTTATATGTAAGTCGTCTCAAGTTAGTTTTACAATTGGAAAATAAAATTTAAATATTTAACTTTTCCCAGATCACTTACACGGAAGTTGTCCAGTCAGACGACTTACTTGAAAGTCGTCCAGGATAAGTAAAGTCGTCCAGGATAAGTAAAGTCGTCCATATTGTTTTTCCCAGATTCTAGTCAAACCTTGTTTATCTCGAATGACTCTCCTGTAAGTCGTCTAACTGAACGAATTTTAAGTAAGTCGTCTAACTGGACAACTTTTAAGTAAGTCATCTGGGAAAATTTAAATATTTAAGTTTTATTTTCGAATTGCAAAGTAACCTGAGATGACTTACGAATAAGTTGTCTAGCTTCAATAAACTATTGAAATTTTTGTTTCCCAAAGACGACTTACTGGTAAGTCGTTTAGGAAAAGTCAAATATCTGACACAATTTGGTCAAATGCAAAACTAACCCGTTTAGCCTAGATGACTTAGTGGTAAGTCGTCTAGAGTTTTTTTTTAACAAACAAAGTTGGACGATCGTCCCATTTAATAGTCAATTGCAAAAATGACCTGTTTGGACGACTTACTGGTAAATCATCTGCGTCAATGTTTAGTAAACTTTCATTTTCTCTATGTTTACTAATGTGTTTTTGCAGATGATGCGTCAGTTACATGCAGTGTATGGAGATGATTGTTGAAAGATTGCTGTTGGGTTTCTGTGGTTAATAATTTCAAAGGAGTGAGAATGTTTTTTTTTGACTGAAGGTTCGACACATGCTGAACTTGTTGCAATGGCTCAAGAAGATTATAACCTGCACATGAGCACATCATCTGTGGAGATAACCTAGTCATTACTAGCAGAAATGATGCAACAGATGGCTCCAGACACCCCTCCTTTTCATATTACAAGTGATAGAAAAGTTTGAAACTTGCTCGAAATAACCAAAACGCATGGAGTACGGCTTTGTGTATCAAGCCGTAGCAAGGTGGAAACGGTTTTAGAGGAAAGGGAAGAAGCTGATGAATATTTTGAAGATGATGATGATGATTTGGTTGAAGATGAAAATCATGATGGGGAGGAGGATGATGGGGAGGAGGATGCTGATATCTCCATTGTTGCTGAAGCGGACGAGAATGGTGAGGATTACAGTGTTTATGGAAAGGTTAAAGATGAGGATGAGGAAGAAGATGATATGTGTTTTGAAGATTTCAAAAAGTCATATGCTATTGAAGGAGGAAGATCGAATGGTAACAATATCTATGTCAACCATAGTTTTGTTAGCAAGGATGCACTGCTTTCGGAGCTGCGGTTTACAGCAGTGAAGAGTACATTTTCCTTCAGAATATACAAGTCAACGAAAATTCTCCTTGTGCCTATGGAAGATCAGAGCGAGTGTGAAACATGGGACAAACACGTTTTGGGTAACAAAGTATGTGGAAACACATACATGCTCAGTGGGAGACCTAATCGCTCATCGGAGACACTGTACTCTGAAGTATGTTGGTAGGCTTTCCATTGATCGTGTTGGAATCATTAATGGGTTGACTCCGCAGCATATCACTGATGCAATGAAGAACATGTTTGGCATGAAGCTTAATTACACCACTTCATACAGAGCACTGTTATATGCACAAACATTGGTGAGAGGATCAGCAGAAGATGGGTATTCGCGTCTGCTATCATATCTCAAGCAAATCTCTTAGCAAATCCTGATTCCATCAATAGATTTAAGTATATATATCTCTCTTTTGAAGCGTCTATCAAAGGTCTTAAGTATCAGAGAAGGATCATTGTGGTGGATGGGACTCACCTTAGTGGGAAGTATGGAGGTGTTATGTTAGTTGCAGCCGCACTAGATGGAAATTTTCAGATATTTCCATTGGCTTTTGGGATCGTAGATGGTGAAGATGAACCTTCTTAGGAATCGTTTTCACAAAATTGGCTAGTTGTGTATCTGATGAGCAGCCTCTGGTGATAGTCTTTGACCGACACATGGCCATTAAAAGTGCTAGTGATAAGGTGTTTCCTTGCCTGAGAAATATGTTATTATCGTCTTCAAGATAACATTGTCTAAAAGTATAAAGGGAAACATCTCTTGTACTTGGTTAAAGGTGCTGCTTATGCTCATACGGTTTTAGATTTTGACCGGTACATGACTGAGATACGGAGTGCAAACCCGAAACTTTCAATGTATTTGGAGAATGCCGACGTCAGCCTATGGTAAAGGGTTTATTGTCAAGGGGACATGTACAACATAAAAACAAGAAACATCGCTTAATCTATTAATTCCACACAGAAGTGTGCTAGAGCCTTTCCGATTCAGTTCCAGTTTGAGTTCATAAGGGAGAAGCTAGGAAAGTGGTTTTGGAAAAGGAGAGAATTGATTTGAATCTCCCAACTCAACATAGTCGAGGTGTTGAATACTTGCTTGTTGTTCGATCAGAGATAGCAGATGCGATGAGGGTCCAACCAATTGATGGATGGCGATTCTTTGTGAAAGGT